TGATGGTTCATCACTCCTGAAATAATCGAGTTAACATTCTTAAATAAAAGAATATTTTAAAATTTTCATGTGTTTAACCATTTTATGATATAATTTATCTATTGAATTAAAGTTGCTAGTATGCCCAGTGATCATATGCCACCTCACACCTAATTTCGAGTGTGCTCTCTTAATAGAAAATGGGCTTAAACATCGTCATAGTTTCAAAATTTGTTTATCTGTAAATCTCTCAACACGTAACTTGCTTAGATGAATTGTAAATAGGCTTCACATTATAATAAGCTATTTAAATTATATCTTTTTAGATCCACCTGGGCTTGAGCTCGTCACGGGTGACATGTATACGCTGCGCCCTGGCTCTAATCTTCGTGTACCTGTCCGCGTTACCAGTGGCTCACATGCCTCTCTTGATCTGGCCCTCAACGACGGCCGGTCACTGCCAGGCAGTTTATTGGGTCGGTTGAAGATTGAGCAGTTTGGTGACGATTTTTATGTAAATCTGCGCAACATGCAGTTGTCTGACTCCGGTTCCTACCTGATTCAGGCTAAAAACACAGCTGGCACCAGTCAGTTACCAATTCGGGTTAGTGTCAACACTGTACCTTTGTCACCGACCGGTCCATTAGTCGTATCTGTACAAGAAGCAACTCCTCTTACTTTCGCCAGCAAAGTACTGCTCTCCTGGAGGCCTCCAGCACTGCGTGAAGAAGAAAAGCAGAGTGGAGTTCCAACAGAGCCTATAGAAGGTTATCTTGTCGAGCGCAAGGATGGCCGACGGAGGGCGCACTTCTCTCAAGGTGTCCGTTTAGGGGGTGCCGACTCTCTGGAGCTAGAAGTACCCGATCTACAGCCCGGCATAGAATATATGTTCAGAGTATCTGCTTATAATGCGATAGGTTACAGTGAGCCTCTCTACTCTGAGCCAGTTATCATCAAGAGTCCAGTTGGTAAGAGTCCATCTATTTTTGTTATAATCTCTTTCGAACCAACCAGATTGTTTTACATGACAATGTATTCCTTGGATTGGACTATATGAGCTCTTGAATATTCAGATTTAATATATCTAGCCGAAATAAGCTTTGAACTTTGTCAGAATATGTTATAATTAGATCATGACGACCAATATCTATAAAATTATTTTTTGAAACATATCATAGTTAGTTCATACCTTTTATGTGCTTCAAGTCAGAGTCATGATCAAAAGAATAATCTTTACTTATTGAGCCCTTTGTTGCAATTATCTTTCTAGAGCTATTCGATGTTATTTCTCACGTTTATAATTCATCTTAATCTGCTCCTTTAGACGTGCCGGATGCACCTGGGGGTCCTCTTGACTGCCTCGATTTTACTTCAAACAGCCTGCGCCTACAATGGTCGCCCCCATCGAATGATGGTGGGAGCGACCTTTTGCGCTATCATATCGAACTGAAGGAAGTTGGCGACCCGACTGGCTGGCAGCCAGTCTCCAGTGTCACCGCTGCTGGGCCTACGGAATACTCTATTAGTAGTCTCCGCGAAGGTCTTGCTTACCGATTCCGTGTGCGAGCTGTCAATGCTCAGGGTCCTGGTGCTTGGCTTGAAACTGAGTCTACGATTTCCTTTAAGCGACCAGTCACAGCCCCCTCCGCACCTGAGGCGCCTTTCCGTCTAATACCAGACGGCGAGAATGCGGTCCAGCTGAGCTGGCGAGCCCCGCAAGATGATGGTGGATCCTGCATCGCAGACTTCATTGTGGAGGCCAACCTTGGTCGTGAAGATAATTGGCAACAGGTAATTTCATTCCATGGACATTCAAGATGTTTGTAAGGTAACATGGCAAACTTAGTCATGAAAGTTTTTCCATGAGTGAAAGCGAAGGCATGAATTTTAAATGTTTAATTTTGATGCCATAAAATTTATTGCAATACTATTTTATCTGATTGTATCTTAGGCTTGTGTGGTCAAGGATCTTCGAGCTCGCGTAGAACGCCTTGTGCCGGAAGGCAGCTACAGCTTCCGTGTTTCGGCCCGTAATGAAGTCGGTAAGACAGGCGATGCATTGTATTCAGAAATCTACAAGCCGTCAGCTCCACTTAGCCCACCTGGGCCACCAGGAGCTCCTCTTGTCACCACCATGATGGGCGTGGGCCAAGTTCAACTTGATTGGCGCCCCGCGCCAACCGGCGGATCGAGTGGCTATGGCGCCCCATTGGAATACCGCGTCGAGAGTTGGGATAACGCGAAAAGCAGATGGGCTTATGTCACACGAAGTCTGGCGGCAGAAGGCACCTCACTCATAGTATGTTTCTAATTTAGTGATTATCTGATCAGTCCTTTATCCATAACTTCATTTGAATCACGTGACTATATAAATTAATTTTCGCTAACCTAGCACTGCAATCTAAAATTAAAGTTATGAAGGTTTTTTAGTCTTGTTACTTGAATGTGCTCCGAAGTGATGGTATACTATTAAGAATAACGTGTACTTTATTTAAATGGAAGGGATGTTCTCTATTCATTAAAAAATGGACGGACTTATAATAAGATCCACATTAAGTGTTTCATAATATTTTTATTGATGCTTACTTTTTTGCTTTTAATCCAACGGAATAAATATAAATAAATATGAAGGCGAATATAGTGTGGCCCTAGATTTAGTCGAAGTCTCCTTTATCCGTATTGATTTCGTCTAAGTTTGTTTTCTAAATTTTGCCGGAGTGGCATGACTGGGTACTTTTTACAAGATCTCTCCATCATCCCAAATAAGCGAGGTAATACTAACTCAATAATGAAGTTAACATTATCAATAAAAGGAATGAGCCTGCACCACTTCATATCCTAAATTAGGCTACACTTTATTAGCTTGCTAGCACTTGAACTTCTTCCTATATCTACAGAAGGATAAAGATAAAATGTTGTCACTTTTGATAGTTTAAGTCTTGCTAAATGAGAAGGCTAGAAGGTTATATTCATAATAATCCTTATGGTTACACAGTAGCTACACCACCCGAATGCTAATAAATCAGGATTGGCATGAAACTTTCAAGGTTAGGCTGGATGCTTCTACTCCGCATTCCTAGTGAGAATGTACGTTCAATTTGTGTACATATATCAAATAAAGTTATTGACACTTGTCTCCATTATTATTACAATGGAGGAAAGCTGGTATTGCTTTGAAAATCATATTTGATCCATGCAAATATGGCTGGGTTCCAAGGTGTGGCTGCATAATGTACGCATCTGGTTTTGTGTCCTCTGGATAGCGCTAATTAAACCAACAGAAGGTAGAAAGTGCAAGCAAATCTGGACGATAAGGCTGTGTTAATTTCACTGGAATCAATAAGCTTGCCTGCTGCTGGGAAAAATCGCTGTTGACCTTAGTATGAAAGGCTTGCTGAGTAATGCAGTTTATTTGAACGTTATTTGAACTCATTTTTATTGAAGGCCATATTTG